CTCAAACAGCTCAAGTTAAAACACGTCCCTACTGAGGATTCGAAGCAGGGCAGTCAGTACCATAGCCCACTATGATTCCGACTAAGCTAACAGTGAGCCATGTAAAAGAGGTAATTTTCCACGAAAATGAGTATAGAAGTCAAGCAGAACTCGGGCCTTTGGGTAGAGACAAAACTTGTATAGTTGTTGAACACCAGTAAATAGAATCCAGACACACACACACACACACACACACACACACACACACACACACACACACACACACACACACACACACACACACAATCCCCTTTCCCAGAGCGTAATCTGTCTCGCTCCATCGCCTGGTCTCTTCTCTATCTGCCTCGGAAAGTGGTCATCTCCATCGGGTGGAGTCTTACTGGACACCTGAGCAGCTTGAAAGGCGTCGGTTCTCCGTAGTTGGTCTCCCAGCTGAGGGGTTTCTTGTTTTCATTAAGTTTTTTTCTTCGACTTATCTCCTCTCTAAGGAGTTTCTCTTTGCTCTCTGCGTCTAACGGCTGAAGGAACTGAGAGGCAGGGAGACTATGCTTCAGAGACATGCCTGGAGTAAGACGCCCTTGATCTTTAGGGTCGAAAACCTCGCCTTCGGACAGTCTGGCCCTCTTGAGGTCTGTCCACGTGATCCATCTATCAGTGGACGAGTCATCTAGGCGGAAACCGAGACTGTGGTAAGTCCCTGGCTGTCGGCACGGGAAATGCTGGCAGAGAACAGAAGAGCTCTTGTGCGTTCTGTAGTCACAAGCTCGAGGGATCAGCCTCCGCAGACGTCGTCTTGAGAAAGGGCTGCGACCATAAAGAGGTGTGAGTCTGTGTGGTCGACGTAATACAGACCCCGGTCTTTGACCACTCGCTGGACACTCTCGGGAGTTGCCTTTGGTTTGGCCAGGTGTTCCACTACAGTTATCCATACTCCCCAAGAGCAGACTTTTTTGTGAGCTCGAATTTTGTCCCGTTGAAGAACAATTGTTTTCAGACTTTTCACAACCTTCAGAATCACGATAAATTGTTTCACGTTCAGTAAGAGAACAATTATGCCTCCGCCGTTGATCCCGACGAGACAACGCCTTTTCCATAATCCTCATATCGTTGGAAATTTTAGTCTCCACTTCTTGCCGTTTTTGGTCGAGCGCTGCCAGGTGTAAGCACAGTCTTCTGTCACATGCCTGGTTCGCTCTGCGTGTCTTCCAGGCCGGGTGTCTGTCCATCTCGCCCATCCCGGGGAGACGCTGACCGCCAGCTTTGAGGGTCAGGCCGGGAATTCTGCAACAATTATGCATAGTAGGGATGCTACTCTCCTCACATTGTACTCATTTTTTGTCAACGGGCAGACGTTTTCCTGGTTGATAGTGCATGTTAATGTTGAAAGGCCACATCAAAACAATTTAGATCAGTTAGGACGCGGGGTGTTCTGATCTCGCTTGCCAGGGCCAACCAATCTGTACAGATGTTGCATCCCAGGAATAAGACGGAGATAATGAAATATCTTATTCTCGTAGTATCAAAATCACTGCTGCATACAGGGTGGACAGCCCAACCTTGCAAGACAGACACGAGTACTGTATTCCTGACGTGTTATGGCGTTGCACGATATGGTATAAGTTCAAATAGTCCTCAAGAGGTCTGGCCTCAGATTTGACATCCAACTCCACTGTATCCCTTTTTCGAAAAATATCCGCCACACCTTGCCTGCTTCCTGGTTCCTCTCAGACTTAGACCGCGTTGAGTCACGACAGAGGTGGTGGGCGCACACTGCCCGCCTTCAGGTTAGTACTTCGTAGAACTGATATGTTCACAATAGGTACAACCAACCACTGGGAGAATTGTGACCATAGAACGCTGAGCGCAAGCCTTTGAAGGGTCAATGACATAATAAAAGCTGAACGCTTCCACAATTGCGAGAGATTAGTCGTGTAAATATGGATACGAAAACCTGAGCCAGTTGGCTTTAAAGTGCCAAGGATCTATACGAACATTCCTAGTAAATAGTGCACTTGCGAGTGTAACTTGTAAGTCACTTCAGCCGCGGGCACACGTCACTCTCGTAGCTGTCTGAATGCAGTTAATTTAGTTGGCTCTCTGACACTCGACTTTTGTATGTCCAGGCGGTGGTGTGGACAATGGCACAACAGCTACAGCAGTAGTCGCTGGAGGGATCGTGCAACAGAAAAAAAAATAACAGTCAAGTCGTTACGACAAGCTAAAAACGAACTGTAAGACAACTATAGTTAAGAATTTTTTAATATTTAGGTTTACGCTCTATGTAGACTCTTCTGAGAATACTTTATTCCATGGGGGTATTCCTTGCGTTTGCTCGCACAGTTACTGTTTTATGTGCCTTGAGTTGAAGGAGGATGGCAGTTAACAAACGAGTGGTAGATTGAGAAAAAATCGACTCTCTCTCTCTCGCTCTCTCTCTCTCTCTCTCTCTCTCTCTCTCTCTCTCCCTTCTCTCTCTTTCACTCACTCTCTCTCTAAGACA